CGACGGGCACTGATGGCAGCTACCTGCTGCGGGACAGCGAGAGCATCCCGGGAGTCTACTGCCTCTGCGTGCTGTGAGTGCGGCCGCAGCTCCATCGCCTCTCTGGGGTGCGGGGCAGCGGCGGGGCCGGGAGCGGGGTGCCGGGAAGGGCTGGTCAGGTGGTGGTTGATTTCCAACCTTTGTATCCACAGTATAGGGTTGTTCCCGCAGAACGGTGACAAAATATGTCGGTTTTGCAGATATGGGTGAGACGTGGGGCTCCTTCACCTTGATTTAAGGCAGAGGGGGGCATAAGAGGTGCGGAGTCCTTTGCAGAGCGAAGAGGAGCAGGTTTTGCTTTGCAGAACCCATGCTTCCTACGGCACAAAAATAAAAAGAGAAAGCAGGCCTGGAGCACATAGGAAGGGCGAGTGAAGTGCCACGGAGAAAAAACAGGCAGTTTGACTTGAGATGGCATGCGCTGCCTCTTTGTGCTGGATAATCCTCTTCCTTTCTGCCCGCTGTCTTCTGCTTCTCTAATGCACTCATGAACACGCTTAGCAACATCCCCAGCCTCCCCTGACATAAGGAAGGGTAGCATGGATCGCTGTCATCCAGAACGTGCCTTTGCTTTGGAGTGCTCTCGGTCAGACTATGTCCTGGGAGCCGTTGGGTTTGGAGTAAACTACCTGTAAAGTACATGAAATACTGATGAGTAATGAACTAGGTGGTAATGTTTCATCAAATAGGGTGAAAGGGGAAAGATCTGATGGGATGGTCTGTCAGAGAGAGGGTAGAGAGGTTTCCCTGAGCAAACTGGGGGACTTTCTAGACATAGGATCTCATTTTGGTGAGGCAATTTAATTTCCCTACTTTTGTCATAAGAAAAAATCTCGAAGTCCTGAGAGATAAGGCTGTATAAGAAGTACCATTGCATCAAAAGAACCAAGATGTGTCTACCAAGGCTAATCAGACACTTGTGTCTTACTTCAGTAGGAGAAGGCATACAAGAGCTAGACATAGGATCTCATTTTGGTGAGGCAATATAATTTCCCTACTTTTGTCATAAGAAAAAGTCTTGAAGTCCTGAGAAATAAGGCTGTACAAGAAGTGCCATTGCATCAAAAGAACAAAGATGTGTCTACCAAGGCTAAACAAACACTTGTGTCTTACTTCAGTAGGAGAAGGAATACAAGACAAAACCATTTTAGGGCCAGCAAGAAATTAGCTAACAGAGGGCACTTAGGTACCTGCCAAAAAAAACCCCAAACCAAAACAAACAGAGGACAGAGGGCACTTAGGTACCTGCCAAAAAAAACCCAAACCAAAACAAACAGAGGACAAAGAAGAGTCCTAAGTCAGGTTTTCCCCAAATGTCTTGAATATGTCTCCAACAATATATAATTAAGCCCTGAGTGAGCATTCTTATTCCCCTGTTGTAGACCAGTAAATGGAGACATACAAGGATGTTATAGGCAATCCAGAAATATGCGGCCTCCTCTTTAGGGAAGATCTTGGTGGCAGAAGATGTATTCTTTCTTCTGTCATGAAATCAGAAGGTGAACCAAGATAGACACTACTGCTAACAAATACCTTAACAGCTAGCTGAAAAATGGGAACTAAGAAGCACCTTGAGTTAAATGAAAATGGAGTAGACGTAGCAAAAGGTAAGGAGCGCTATGAGTCCTGTGATGGGAATAGGCAAGAAAAGCAGAATCTTTTTTGAATAACCATCAGAGGAAATGACGATATGTCTCCTTTACGCTCAGGAGTCATTCAGTGTAGGCGAAACACTAAGACATTAGAGAAGGAGTCAGGCAGAATGTTACAATGCTGAATAAAATAGAGCATCTTAAAATTAGTCCACCATTAGTCTAAATCAGTGTGTAGGTATGTAACAAGGTCTTTCATCTGCACACAATCAGTTGCGATTTTTTGCTATATTAGTAGTAATTTACACCCTTTGGAAGAAATTTCATTAATGAAATAAAAGATGTAAAATGAAAATAGGAAGAACAGAAAGGATTGCTAAGCATGAAGCTCTGCAATCGTGAGAGGAAAAGAAAAAAGACTTCAGTAAGAAACAGAACCCTACCTAATTGTTTCTGGAAATTCTGGGCCACTCGTGTCTTCATGATATGTTGCATTCAAACATATATATGATAAGCAAAGGGGTAAAAGCAAAAAATATTACTGATGAATGTTACACAGGCTTCTTATAGAATGTAGATGCTCAATAAATTTTTTATAAGGGAAATTTTCAATAGCATCTTGGATAAATCCAGATAAAAAATTAAATGAAAAATGCTGTGATGAGTATGATCCGATAAAGACAGAAAGGTGGATGAAAAATGCTAGAGCTAAGCCTTGGCTCCAATACTTCTTAATATTTCAATTCAGAGCATTATGTAAGAAATAGGAGATATAGGAAACAACATATCACGCAATAACTTTGGAGACAGTTATCATAAAGATACCAGGAAATTGTCTCACACTGAAGATTGCAATGACAGTCTAAAGAAATGTGGGCCATAAAGTAGAGAAGTGCTTTAGCAGGCAAATGTTTACCAAAGTGGAGCACTTTAGTGGAGAGGCTGGAGGAGCAAGCGAGGAAGGCATGAGAGACGTAAATATGTATTCAATGGAGGATGTTAAATCCTGGTGTTGGCAAAATAAACCAATGGACCCACCTCCCCCCAAATTCCAGTCTGAACATCACGCACAGAGACGAAACAAGTGGCAAGCATGTATGTGCACGAGAGCTTTGGTAAAAACTAGGAGGGAAACATGCAGTTGCTGGATTCAATGTTTAAGAAAAAGAAAATGAAAGGGAGAGTAAGTACTTCTCTGCTTTTTTTATACTGCCTTTTAAATAAATAATGGAAATTATTAGGAATAACAAAGTTATTTAGAAATTTACATTTTGGTTCAGAATCAGTGCTGAAGATCACTCTAGGAATACCTAGATATATCAAGATTAGGCAAAACATGTATTTACTGGAAGTACTGGAGTGATCTTTGAACCATCAGAAACAAAGCTGGTCATTAGATATCTCACAATAAGTATCAGAACTAAAAAAAAAAATTTACATCTTTCCAATGAGAATTTCTAACAGAAGTGAAACTGTTTCATACTGCCAGCAATGTTTGTGTTTCTCTCAGAAAAGAAAAAGAGAAAAATAGTTCAGTTTTCCAAAATCAAAACAGTCTGCCTTATTTCCCCTCTCCCTGCACTTATCTGGAGAATAAAACAAAACAAATCTCCCCAGCTCCCCACACCCAAGTCGTCTTAGGATTTTTTTTTTTCTTACCATGGGGAAAGAAGGGAGTTGTCAAAAGGCACAGTTCTGATGAAGAGAAAAAGAATATCAAAAAAGTAATTATGCAAATATTTGGATGACAATGCTGTGATCAACTTGAACTCACAGAGATGGCCACTCCACACTTCCAGCTCCAGGTACAGTAATTGGTAAGTCCTTGGATTGCCACTGCATTGCTTAGGCTCAAACAATGTCTCTTGTTTCCAAGAAACTGCATAAATTTGTAATGCCACCAGTACCCCCAGACCACCCCCAAAAAAAGCCCTACCATATTTTGGCAGTCTTTGAGTCTCCTAAGGCATGTAATAAAGGCAACAGTGTTCACTGTAAGGCTCAATCCCCTTTTGCTTTTCCAATTAAAAAATGGAGCCCTGACCTTTAGAAAGGAGAAGAGTCAAAGACTTCATGAATCCCTTGCGACTGACACTGATTTTACAGGGCAAACATAAAAGAGACAGGTAGTAGCATAAAACCTGACCTCCAGAGACGGGTAAATGCAGCAGGCAGGCCCCTGTTGTTGGAGCTTTGGGCTCGAAAACTCTGCTTTCTCTCTTCTTTGTTTCTCCTGAAGTGTTGCTTCATGTTCCTTGAATGCTGCTTTCTGCTGTCCAAAGTCACGGTGTGCACACGGCCTGCCTGCAAGCCTTCAAAGAGAGAATGTTTTTTGGTGTGGCTGTGGCAAAGAACAAAGAACCCACTTTCATAAATATTTTAAGGCCACAATTAAACTATGCGTGGAAGAGTAGAAAGGTTTTGATTTACAACAGGGTCCCCTGGGGCTCTTACAAACGGAGGTGCTGCCTGCGGATTTTGGCAAAGTTTTTTTAATACCAGATGCTCCCAAGATCTTCACTGTATGAATACCATTATTAAATTGGTAATATATACTTTAAGGATGTTGTTCATCATGTTTTGAACACGTCCACAGAGGAGCACAATCTTTTCCTTGAAATTTTTTAGGGTTGCATTGAAAAGCAGGAAGATTTTCGTTGTTTCTGATAACTGGGCTAGAAGAAATGCATATGCTTTAAAAAATGTACGTGTTTTACCTGCAAACATGTTAGACACTGCACACAGTAGACCAAAACCTATCAAAACCTAATTGTTCCAGGGAGCTTTCTTTACTGGTCCGCTTCCTATTTGCTCAATACCCTGTTTGACATTTTTAGCACCCTCAGAAATCCTCCGTGTGCACCGCTCTTAATGAAGCCAGCGGGGGACACGGGACACAATAACGGTGGCTGGTTTGAGAAGCAGCCTCTTAAACTGTGCCTGAAAAATGCATAAATAAAATGCCTGAGAGTGCCAAAAGCACCGCTCTCCTTTACAGATATACGAGCACACACGCAGAGAAGAGCAGCTCATGCCTGGATTGGCAAAGATAAAGCGTTTGTAGTTCGGGTCTTAAAATTCATATACTTGAAAATACTTGCAATGTTAGGAGTTGTTTCAGAGCTTTAGGCAAGCTAAACATGACATACTTGTCAAACTGTATGTTCGGCTTATTTGTTTAAAACCAGTCATTCCTGCACTGCGCTGCGTTCCATTTGTGGAGAATAATCAAAAGCTGGAAGAGAAAGCTGTTTAGAGCTCTTGAAGCAACAGTAATGGCAACAGGGACAGGCTGCAGTCCTATCAGGTTTTACGTGTGCTATTTTTTCTGTCACCGTAACCACAGCGCACAAGTTCAGGCAACGTGCCGAAACTTTCTGATGGGGCAGATGTATCAGCTGTACAGCGTGCAGGTGTAAGGCAGGATCACGAGCCAGCTTCA